TTACAGGTGAGCACCACCACGTCTGGTCAGAAAGAAAGATGTTAATTCCATCCCCTCATAGAAAGTTCTGCAGGAGTTGTCAGTCCTTTGCAGCGTCTCTCCCTCAGGCCTCCTTCCTTTGTGGAAATGTTCAGGGTTGCATATGAGGGCAATGGGTTGTTTCTAAGGGGGAGACGATGGCCTTATTAACATTTCCATGTGTGCTGATTGTGTATGTGTGTGGGGCGGGGTGCAGGGTGAACTGAAAGCTAGAATTAGTCCTATGAATTATGGGCTTGTTTGGATCCTGGGCCCCTCCTGCCCTAACCAGTGCCAGTAAATCCTGCAGGCAACTTCAACCCCACTACTAGCTTTCCGTCCCGCTCATCTAAATGTCCGTGCCAAGGTGCCAATCACAACCCTCCCTTTCTTGGTTTTTTTGTACAAAAACTATTTTAGAGTCATTTTAAATGTCAAACCTTCAAGCACTGTGAACAGAGAAGGCTCATTCAGTTCACAGCATAGCTAAAAAGTCTTTAAAAAATTCTGATGAAGGCACTCATATTTGAAGAGGTCTATACTTTTCACCGAGTTTTAGTTCCAGCGAGAAACAAAATTGCAACATTGGAGGGAAGGTTAAAAGAAGAAGCCTGAGAAAAGCATAAATGTCAACAGCAGGACCTCCATGCCCAGGAGAGGTGGAGAGGCCCCATGTGGGAATCATATTGCAGTGGCTGCTTTATATGGTGCGTCAATAAACATGGTTCCTACGCTATCTGAAATATTCAGTGTCGACCGAAACAGTCGTAGACATAATGCCATTCCAGACACATGTGAGAATGGACACATAGAACACATCATACTAAGAATTTGGTACCTTTTTCAAAATATTTTATTATGTACACATTTCAGGTTAAATACAAATTCCATGTTCACATAGTTTGAGCAATAGAAAACACATTTTGAAATCAGTCCTGTACAGCAGGGAATCTTCCTGTAGGAGTTCTTGGAGGTTGATTCTTCATTTAACAAATGTTTATTGATAATAGAAGGCAGGAAACTGTGGCATCCTTCTAGCTTCAAAGAGTTTAAAATGTGGTAGGGATCTTTAGGAGAGTTGTTTTTCATCAGAGAATTCAAAAGAACTTTCATATAGCTATATGAGAAAAGTATAAAGCCATAAAGAGGAATAAGGAGGCAAAGTTGTGATTCCAAAGTTACAAACAAAAAAAGAATGTCCAAGCAATCTTGAGATAGAAATAATTGAACCAAGAACAACACCATACATGAATTAATCCAATGTCTCTTAAATTATCGAATGTGTTCCAGTGGGCTCCTTTGAGAATCTAATGAAAATTATAGGTCCAGAAATGTCCACGTATCCAAAACTTTTGCATAAGGGATTTGGTATCCAAGTCTTAGTCTTTATTTATATTTTAAAACTTGTACAGTAACATTTACCATGGCTAATGTGTAATAACTATTTACACTGCTGTCTCCTCTCCTAGAAAATGAGCACTCCTGGGACACGATTGCATTTTGTTTATCTTTTATTCAAACCCCTTTCTGTGTAGCATTGTGCTTGTAGGATAGAAGGTCCTAAACCTGTTGTCTGGCAAACCAGCTGAGGTGGCCAGAGTGACTACAGCTGACGAGGCCCCCTCTCTCTATGGGATCTCTCGTCACTTGAGAGTCTGACCTGGCACTTTCGAATGTGGCTGGATCCCAAAAGAGTGAAAAAGAACACTGCAAATCTCTCAGGGCCTAAACCTGGAAGTCACAAAATACCACTCCTGCCACATTTTGTTTGTTGGTCAAAGCAAGTGACAGAACAAATCTGGATTCAAGGGGAGGAGAAATAGATATCACATTTTTGGCAGGGGGAGTCAGGGTCTTACTCTGTAGCCCAGGCTGGCCTTGAACTTGCAGTGATCCTCCTGCCTCAGCTTCCCAAGTGCTGGGATTACGGGCATGAGCCACCATACCCGACTCCTTTTCACATCTTTTTGAGGAATTAATAGCACATGTATTCAGGGATGAGGGGAATCTTTATAAAGATGTTATAAACAATCTACACAGTAAGTAAATAATAGGACAGGTTATAGCTGATGTGACAAAAATTGTGAGTTTTACTCAAATGATAGATGTTTGGAGAATGCTGTATTTAACCTGACACCTGAATTTCACACTGGACAGTTGGTCGGTTGACAGTTTTTAGTATCTTGTACGTACTAATTCCAGTGCATACAAGGCTGTCTATACATTGCGAGGGGGACAGATATGCAAGTATATAGCTCTGACACAACATGATGCATGTTACAGTGAAGAGTTTGGTACATGCAGCACTGACATTCTATGTAGACGTCTGAGTTCATATGGATTTTCTCGGGCCCATACTTTCTAGCAGATCTCAAAAAAAATGTGAAGCTCCAGAAGGACCTAAAAGGCACTGAAAAGGCTCAAAAGCACCATAGAGACACAGTAGTGTGAAGCAGAGAAATGAAGCCATTAACAGATGAGAAGCAGAAACCTTTACAGATGGGAGAAGGGATAATTAAGGAGGAAGCACTGGTTTGAGCTGGAAGTCAGATGTGTGTGTAGAAGGTGAGATGGGAATAGGAGAAGAGGAAGATGATGAAGGAGGACAGGAATGTGGATAACTGGAGAAAGGAAGGGAGAGAAAAAGTAATTCAAGGATGACTGACTTTTCTATCTTTGGGAGAATGGGAGAATTTTACAGTCCTAGGAATAAGTGCAAGTTTTCTGGACCGTATTTCCGGAATTCAGTTTTGTTCAAGTTGTGATTGAGGTAGATGCTTCTATGATAAACCAACAAATCATTGGAAATGCAGGGCTGGGACTTACCTACCTGTGCTAGGCACTGTTCTAGGAATCGGATGTAAGGTGACAGATATCCTCAGAGAGCTTATGTCTCAGTGTGGTTGGTGAGGGGGTGAGGGAAGGTGCCACTTAACATGTACAAAAGTTAACATAAATTTTACCTAATGTTACTTTTTTTTTTTTTGGAAAGGGGATTGAACTCAGGACCTTGCGCTTGTGAGGCAGGTGCAGGAACCACTGAGCTAAACCCCTGGCCCTGAGTGATTTTTTTTTTTTTTTGTACTGGGGATCGAACTCGGGACCTTGTGCTTGTGAGGCAGGTCCTGGAACCACTGAGCTAAATCCCCAGCCAAGAAATTAACCTTTGCAATCTAAAGTGGTCCCTCCCAGAGACCAGATCATTGTAATTCTTCCCTCACCACCTCCATCCACAGACAGCCAATCTTCCCTCTTTTGTGGTAGAACAACAAAAAGCCATTCTGGTTACCGGAGTGGAACTCAGGAGAGAGGAACCATGAGAGAGGGAGAGAGAAAGGATAGAGGACAGTGGCAGTGGGAGTCGCTTACTGACCAGTTTTGGAATGGGATGGATACAATCTGGGATCGGGTCCCACCCCACAGTCACTGCCCAGGAATGAGGTGACTTGAGCAGTGATGCCCTTCACTGCTCAGCTCAGAGCAGCTGCCGTACAGGATGCATTATGTCACTTGTGACATGGATTGTATCGCTTCAACTTGAGAGAAGAACGAGTTGCACAATTTCCTGGGCTTCATCTGTGCCCATCTGAGGTAGTGACAGGACACAGTCTTCTGTCACCACACATCTACACATGTCTGGACCCTTCCTGTGGGGAAGACAGGGTGAGAACAGAGTACCTGTGGACCAAGCTACTGCCACATTGCCTTTTGAGTCTTCTACTTCATCTTTGGCAAGGTAGAGGGATAGTCATATTTTAAGGAAATTGTATATTAAATTATTCCAACTTTTCAATCACTTGTTTCTGAATACATCTCCCCACTGCCTGAAGAATGTGTACAGTGTTAAGTAAATTGCTTGTTTCAGTGATCCTGACCATAGGTACTATGCCTGGTGCCAGGATGTCCCTGTAGATTTAAGGTAAACAAAGATAAATTAGTTCATGATGTGTGTTGAAATTATAGGATTGCAGGGGCCAAGCATTTAGCTCAGTGGTTCCGCCAACTGCTTTGCAAGTGTAAGGTACCGAGTTTGATCTCCGGTACCAAAAAAAAAGAAAGAAAGAAATTATAGGTTTGCATAAAATGAAACTTTCTGTGATTAGAAAATGTCATCATTTTAGAGTTTGTAAAGGTGTCAAACATTGGATGAGAAAAAATGAATTTAAATGATGGGTTCTGTTATTATTTTTTTAACCTTAGATAAAATGTTATTTCAAAACCAGTCTTGAGTGTTACTAGATGCAGTGGGGAGAAGCAGAGGCATTGCCTGGGACCTCTATCAGAGAGAAGACATGTGGGCTTGGCAATTATTTCAGATCTTTCTGTCATTTACTGGTATCATCCTACTTTAATCAAATATAATGGTAGGCTGTTATTCAAATTACAAATATAATCAGAGAAAAAGTTCACCAAATGTCAGCCATATATCCGTCTCTAAAATGCTGAAAAGCAATGTTAAAGAAAAATAGGAAATTTGGGGTTGGTGCCATGGCGCTGCTGTTCTCCATCACATTGTTTATGATCTTGAATATTTCAGTCATGACGTAAATCCATGGAATCAAGTCACTGATATGTTTAGGTTTCTTAGTCACATTTGGTGGCTGTTAATACTATAGAGGTGGCAAGGACGTTTTTAGCATACAATGTCTCTTGTCAAGAGAAAATGAAAACCTCCCAGGAAAGTCCCAGAACACTGGCACTGGCTTTGCTAAGTTGGTCCCAGCACAGACTCTTAGAGTGGGGATCTGAATGATCCATCCCAAACTTAGTATAAAGGGGGGTCAGAATTAGGGTTTGGTTCCCTTGTGTTGGTGATCGAACTGTAGTACTACTGCTGCCAGCAGTAATAGTAATATTGACATGGGTTAGCAATTACCTAGTATTTTCTGTTTTCTAGGGGCTGTTTAAGCATATTTCATAATTAACCAGTTTAATCCTTACAACAGCAATCAATGTCATTACTGTCTATCCTTCTCTTACAGATGAGGAAACTGAGGCCCAGAGAGATCACACAGCTACTAAGTCAAGGAGCTGGGACAGGCGTGGGTGCTGAAAAGTGATTGATACTGATAGTAAAATTGAGGAAGACATGATGTTTTTGTAATTTGAGAAAAATCACTGAAGAATAAACTATATGAAGTCATTGATGCCAAATTCCCAGCCCCAGCCTTTGCAGCTGCCCCGCCTGGGGTTCGTCTCTATGGGAAGGAGTCTTTGCCATGGACAGAGGCCGTGGTGAGCTGCTCCTGAGACTTCTCATTTATGCTCATGCATACCTGGATTGTGAAATGTTTGACCTGGAAGGAAGGCTAGGGACCAATGAGCTCCTCATTTTACTGATTAGGCCTTGATGCAGCACATGGCTTTAATGTTGGGTTACAGGGACACTTTCTTGTTTGGGTTCTGGGAAAGGAAATTTTTTTTTTTCAGGAGGCAGCAGGTTTGTACCTTATGTCCTTGACAGACAGGAATCACAAAGCTAAAAGTTAAAAGAGAAGAAATGCTACAAGATTTTATAGAGAAACATGTGGACAGGAAGGAGGTCTTTAGGTGGGGTTTATTTATAGCTCAGCAAGGACTGCATAGATCTGTGCCTATGGTTAGGGTATCTTGAAGAAAGGTGAACTTTTTTTTGATTCCAGGGATCGAACTCAGGACCTTGCACTTACAAAGCAGGCGCAACACCACTGAGCTAAATCCCTGGTCCAAGAACTGTAAACTTTATATTCCTTTAATGTTCTTAGTAGGTGCCCAGGGGGATTCATTATTTTAGTTTTCATAGTGATGCTATTTGGAAATGTCAGAAACTTCCAAATATCTAGTTTCTTCACAAGAATGTATGGTGGCACCTCTTTCTGAGTGCTGCTGTCCTGGGTGTCCCTTGGTGCTAGACGTTTTGAACACAGGACCATGGCTCTTACCTGGACACCTGAGTGTGGACTGGGGTTCCACTCAGGTGTGTTGGAGAGAAGTAATCTCTTGCTGCCATATTTTACCCCAGCCTTCTCATTACCATGCCCAGGAAATCACTCCTGCTGTAACTTCCTAATTATGCCTCTGGGTACTTTATGAGAAGGGTGACATTTTTCTCTTGACAGGCTATATAATAGTAGAGGACTATCCTTGTCACTCTTTATTGCTTTTAATAACTGCAAAATTTCTTGCAAGATGTCTAGAACTTCATAAACATATGTTGATGGCACTGTTTTATCCATCCTGAAATGATCAAGGTCACAGTCAATGTTTCAGAGGAAGGAAGACTGTGAACATATTTATAAATAGATATGTAGCTTGAGAATGACCCTTTCAGACATGGAGACATTAGCTAGCAATGAGGAAGGAAGTGATGAAATGCAATAATAATTTTTTTAAAGCAAAGTATCAAGGTGTATGCCAAACGCTTGCTATTGTGTTTAATTTGATTGGCATCTCAGCATTTTAGAGGCTTAAGCATTTATCTTTATAATGAAAAGTGAATTAAAAAATAAGAATGGAACAAAAGTACAATTTAAATCATTACAAGTCAGTGTACAATGCCTAATTTTAACTTAGAAAACCTAAGTGAAATGTGTAAGGCCACGGTCCCTTACATTTTGTCGTTCTGATCTTTTAAGAACGTAGATACAGGAGATGATTTTAGGGAGTGTTGAATCCCATTCATCCTCAACAGATATTTTTAATAATTTAAAAATCTGAAAGGTGTATCAGTTTTTTTATTTGGTGCATAAAAAAATCCTGAGGAATTGGTAGAGACCTACCAGCCTGCAGGTTGATGATTTGTGCTTATTAGGCCTCAAAATTCTCAACATCCTGGAAGAGAGAAAGACAACAACAACAAAAATACTGCTTTTGATGCTTTTGATCAACAGTATCAACAGTAATGACAACAGTGTAGTTGGTGGATCCATACACATTAACATTAACCCTTTTGGTACTTATGTAGGAAAATATTTTTATAGTGTATCAAGGGACAAGAGTTCAGGCATTCAAGTTAAACCTTGAATAAGTTAACTCCTCTCAGAGTTGTAAATTCTTCATTTGTAAAGGAAGAATTATTTCTAACAATAATGATAATTATTAATATTGCCTTAAAATTTTTCTGAAGATTAAATGAATAATACATGGAAAGCACTTTACCTGCCTTATGTTACTAGTTATTTTTTATTGGTACATTTTAGATATTCATAACATTCATCATAGGGAATTTGTACCTGTACGTGATATATCTTGCTTCTTTTTTTTCCCCTTCCCCTCCTCTCCCTTCAACCCCTCTTCCCCTCTTTGTTTACAAAAGCTTGTTTCCATTTTTCCTTGTCCCTTCTTTCCTTTCCCTTCCTCATCCCCCCTTGTTTATGTTACTAATTATTATCATGATGGTCTTTATTATATTTTTCAGATGACGAAGGTCAGGCTTAGAGATCCAGGAAGTTGAGACATGGAAAGCAGGAGTGGAGCAAGGAGGTACTGCTCCACTAATTCCCAAATCCTTCTAGTCCTCAGCTTCCCACTACTGAGCTGCATTAGGAAACGTTGCTTTTTGGAGGCATGGAGAATGTGGCAGCAAGGTTCAGTCTTTGGTCTAGAAGCTGACTCTCATGTTGGGAAGAGGTGACCAGGACACTGGGAATAGTAGTTATGCACTAGGGAAGTCAGATGTTGCTCCTGACTGGCATTTGGCTCCCTCTGTGTCCCCACCTTTTCCCAATGGTGTTGTCCTTTCATGTTTTGTGGTTGCCCAACCTTAGGAAGCATCAATTGGATGAGGGCAATGTGTTCCACTTTCCTTGAACATGTTTAACTCCCTAGATAACAAAAAGAAGGGAAGAGAGATAACCTTCCACTCAGATGAATAAGAATAAGCATTTGTGCTGTACAGCTCCCCCACTCCCTGCAAAAATTTGGGAGGAAAGACGCTTTTTGAGGTTGAACATTTCTTTGCATGACATCTGATTTTTCCACTCTTGTCATTTTAACTGTCCTTTAGAATGAAATTTCTCTGAAGTATAATCTCTTGGTAGGCTTTAGTGAAATCATCTCCTCATTGGTACTTTTATTTGCATTTCCACCTTTTGGATTTACTCTGTCATTAGATTTCATTGTTTGTGTGCTTTTTTTCCTTTATTGGTGTGTAGGCTTCTTACAGTCAAGGACAGAAACATTTTCCTCTTCATCTGTCCAGAATCTATTATTTCTCAGGAAATATCAAAGCACTTAGACAAATGGAACACTAGATACTAATTTGGACTAAATATTTTTGCTGGCTGCTATATGACAAATAGTGAAAAGAAGGAAGCTCATAAAACTGACTTCATGAGGTGTAGACAGTTTTACCAATTAGAATATTTTTGGCAGTCATTGATACCAGAAAAGGTGTGAAAGTAGTGGAAAGGGAGATAAGCAGATAAAGGGGCAGAATGATACAGAAAGGAGCTGAAAATAAGAAGGAGGTTAGGATAGGAGACATATTTTATGTCACCAATTACTTCTCCTGGTTCCCAAACTGTCTGGGGCTAGTGAGATCTGCCCTGACCCTGGTACAAATGTCAAGAGAGTGGAATTCACTTGGCTCTCAAATCAGAAAAAAAAATGGGGGCCAAATCTAAGCAGCAAAAAGTGTGTCTTTATACTTTTTCCATCAGCCAAGTCAGAAGTTCAATTACTAGCATGAGTTGAAGATGTAAATTTGAATATCCAATTTTTAAGCCTAAGAAACAGATATTGGTAGTAAGGAGAGGAATTGTATGCAGTGGTTTCCATTGTGTAAGCTGGGATAATTATACAACAAGGCATACTTCAGTTTGGGGGGATTACGTGAATTGTATCCAGAGCGAACATGGGGTAGACCTGCCCGTGTATAGGCAAATATAAATTTCCCAGTCAAGCTCGTGTTTGAGCACTGCTGTGAAAGACACTCCATTTTCTTTTTTTTTGTACCAGGGATTGAACTCAGGACCTTGTGCTTGCGAGGCAGGCAAGGTGCCACTGAGCTAAATCCTTGGCCCCAATATTCCATTTTCTGTTTTATTTTAGATTCTGGAAGAGCTGCTATTTTATTGCCTTGACGTGTGGATGAACTGCTTAACCTCTCTACAATGGTTTAGTTTTTTAAATTAATGCATATTAATTATACAGAATAATGGGTTGATTTTCTGTTCTTATAAATCTTTCTTTCTTCTTTCATTGGTCTCTGATGTCTTCCTGGACTAATAAAAAGAAGCAAAGAGAACAGGAAAAAGGGAATAGTTGGTCTTAAAAAGAGAGAATAAGTAATTTCCCAAAGGAAGGCAATAGAGTGTTGGCCCTAGATTCTTTCATTCTGGAAGGAAAAGCCTTCAGACTTACTTTTCCATTAGTGGTACTTTTTGCTGTATTTTACTTCTGCAAAAATTAAGTATCAGTTAAGTGAGAGCCATGTGCTTCCTTTCTGGAGACATCTTCAAAGAGAAAAGAAGGTACGTGAAAAGAGAGTAGAAAAAATAATGGGTGATGAGTTAAGAGGGAACTTTTTTAAAGAAGTAAAACACCAATTGAAATGGATAGATTTGATTTTTGTTTTAATGGAGAGTACATGAGCTGCTTCTTATTCCCCAAAGTGAGCACAATTCAGTTGGCTTGTTCTGTGCACATGGTGATGGTCCATGGTGATCCATTGCCAGCTTTTCAGTACTCCATTCCCGGACTGTGGGAACCAGGAGTGCGGCAGCATTCCACCTGTGTTCCCATGGTGTTCCATCTGCAGCACTTTCTGTTATTTAGTTTCCAACTTGCTTGAAATAGTATTATTTGCTCTAAAGGACGATGGTGATGTGTTGCTCATGACAGGCTCTGTAGTTCCATCAGCCCAGAAAATGCCTTCAGTGTAGCATTAGAGAATAAAAAGCTAACAGCCGGAAGCTGGATAAAGCTAGCAGCATGCACAGGTAGTTGTCCAAACACCTTAACTTGATTCACTTCTGGACTGCTTTGTATTTCCAGACTCTAGCTGAAGTGGCATAAAACTACTATAAGCAAGTCTGTTTGTCCATGCTTGGGTGAGAGGCAACCCTAGAATTTCATTTCAGCGACTTGAGTTGGACTTTTTTTTTCATTCTCTCACATGAGGTTACCCAGTCTGCTAAAGAGTAACACATACATCCTAAAGATCAGTAAACTGGTCCAAAATCGTACCCCAGCTCATTTTTTGCCTGTCCTTATTGTGTTTCAGCACTGGGGCTTTATAGGTGGTAAAGGCATTGCTCCTGACCTCACCAAGTTCATAGTTTCACCAAGAGAGACAAAGACTACAGAGGCTTTTGCTTGGGTTGAGATTTTGTGCTTCACAGTATTTTTGGAAGAAATGAATCAAGTGCTAGATTTCTTAAACAGTACTACTAGTCCATCTTGGTGATGAAGAGGGAAATGGAAAGCCACAAAAATAAGTAAGAGGAGAGAATTTGGTGGTAGATTCTGTTTAAGACTTTTAAGAGTGGAAAAATAATTTTTCCTTCAACTTTTTATATAGAAAAATTTCAGACTTACAGAATAGAATTGTCAGTGTTTTGTCACATCCATTTTCATTTTCTGTGTATTTTTTGATTTATAAGGGTGGCAAAAATCATGACATTTCACACACTCCGCCCCAGTGGAACCCATCTTCCTCTGCTGTCTAACTGAAGAACTAGCAATGCCTTCCAAAGCTAAAGGAAACTCCAGCTCCACGCAACAGGTAAGGACAGGGTTTGTGAGCACCACCCTGCTGCATCTTTGAGAAATATCTGGGCTGTGTGCATCTCCAGCCTTACACACTGACTGTGTGTGGGGGGTGGGGGTGGGGGGGTGGCTCTGCTCATTGTTCAGCTCCCTGGAGTTTTAAAACACTTGTTCTTTCACATTAGCATAGGGAGATCTAATTTATTCTCTTAAAGAATTATATAGTATTTCATTGCATAAATGCACCAGAATTTCAAAACCAAGCCTCTATTGATGGATATTTAGATTGTTTTCAGACTTTTGCCACTACAATTGTAATGTAATGAATGTCTTTTTATAGTAATGGATTTGGGGGATCCTTCATGACTAAGTGACTATAGGAGAACAGTTAAGAGTGTTTGTTGCTATATTTCTTTGGAAAATATGGGATTCAGCTCCTTTTCTGGTTACTTTTGTATTGAAACTACTTAAGTCCTGATTTCTATGATTTTAACTTTTCAAAATTGAGTTTAAAAATAATACTAATCACCCTTAAAAATCCATATTAACATAGCTTAAAAATACATTTAATGACATTAGGACCCCCCTCATAACTTATCTGTAGTATTGTTTATTCAACAAATATTTCTTGGGCCGGTGATTCAGCTCAGTCGTTTCCACACCTGCTGCGCAAGAGCAAGGACCCGAGTTCGATCCCCGGTACCAAAAAAAAAAAAAAAAAAGAACAAATATTTCTTGAATGGGTCTGTATGCCAGGGATTACATTGAAGGTTTGGTTTTGGTACATTTTATACTTCTTAGTATAAATCCTGTTGCAATTTAGGACTAAAACAATCCATTAAATTGTTGACAAATCATTTGTACACCAGTAGGGTGGAGAGGAAGGGAAAGATAATATTATAGCTGTCTCTTAGCATATTTTCTAGGTAATATTTATAAATACTATAATTTATTTCCTTCCTTTATTCTCCTTCTTTCCTTCCTTTCTTTTTTTTTAAAAATAGATTATAATGAATGTTATGGCTTAATGTTTAATAGTTTTGGAAACCATGACTGTCCTAGATTTCTAGTTTGAGGTTTTAAAAATATATCACCGTTTTCTATGACAAAGATATAACTAATCCCTTATTAAGCTTATAAGCCTAATATACCTATATGTGGATTCCAGATATTTAGAGGTGATGTACTTCCTTTTTTCTATTGTCATTGCTGAAGTTTGAACCTAGAACCTCATGCATGCTAGGCAAATGCACTACCACTGAGCTATACCCTTAGACCCCTCCTTAATTTATAAAGCAGAAAATCATTATAGACTCCACTCATCTAATGAATATCTACATTAAAGTATGTATGGACTATACATGCATATGACATAAAAATTTAAATGATAAAAAACATATCTATTTTTGTTCCCCAGAGTGAACTAATATAGTCAGTTTCTTCAATGTTTGCTGTTTAACACAGACACAAGCAATGTTTCCTCTTTTCTTCCTCCAATTTTAATAGTTGGTATGATTAGTCTTCCCTCATTCCTCTTTTTATTTTTCTCTAGGTGCTTTTCCCTAGTTCTTATTGTTTATTTAATTTTATAAAGGGAATTCAAAATCAATTTATCTAGGTTGAAAAAAATTCTACTAATGATTTTGGGAATGAGGTACACAACATTTGTGAACTAACTTTGAAAGAATTGGTGTTTCAAGATGCTGAGTCCTTTAATAAATGTATTTATTACTTTCTATTTGCTTCAATCTTTTTTTGGACTTAAGTTTGTCTCTAGGAATGTTAGTGTTTCTGTTGTCTTTGTGAGTAGAATGATTCCTTCTCTATATCTTTAGGTTGTTGTTCAGATGTATGAAGATTATTGATTTCTCTGTATTGTTTTTTACCCAGCCGTCATACTAGATTTCTTTGCATTGTTAGTAATGCTTTTTCAACTGATTCTTTTGAGTTCTTTTGCTATGCAATCATTTTATCTGCACAAAACTCCACAATAATACTGACTGATAGTGATGTTATATTGTATAATGAGGTTAATTTGTTCATGTGTACATTTTTGAACAAAATCTTTCCAGATAATTGCTTGATTGAAAAGCAATGTAAGCTATTAAATATGAACACACACAAGACAATCAAACCTACAGGCACCATAGAATAAAACAATCATGCAAACAAAAACCATTCTCATATGTAATTGTTTGTGAATCAGACTTGTCTCAAGTTAATGAAAACAAAACAAGATGAAATAAATTGGATACTGAGGTCTTGACTTGTATCAGTGTTACGAAGAACCTTTAATTTTAAAATTTCTGTGTTCCTTAAAATTCATTCTTATTAATTTAAAAATAATTACATGTTGCAAATTTCAATTGAGGAAATATTATAATAAAAGATTGCTTTTACTACCTGCTTTTTATATTATAGAATCAAAGATTTTATTCAAAAACAAAGTTCAGTTGATGAGAAAAATGGAAAATTTCCTGTGGAGTTTTCTTGTCTCTTAAGTTTATAGACTCAGAACTTGTCATTGTAAACCAATAACGTCAGTAGGTCAGTGACCCCATAGTCCCTGTCCTTTGTGCTGTAAATATCTGCACAGAAGGAATCTTAGACTCCTATATGTGAGATTGTGAACAATGCTAATTGTTGGCTTACCTGCAACATATGAATTCTTGAGATAAAGTAGGGTGGGAACCTGACCTACCCAGGCATAATTTCATGTGAATATGAAGGAAGTGATTCATTGACAACCCATAAGACCTTGTCGGGAAAACATAGCCCAGGATTGCATCATCAAATATTTGAAAACACAGTGTCCAAGGAAACAGTTTGGAAATCAAAATCTCAATCACTATCACTTTCTCTTATTAGCTTACCTATTTGTTTGTGTTAATAATAACAACCAATACTTGCGTTTTGTTATTTCTAAGGTGTACTCTGGTAATCTCTGGAGGTGGTAATGTAGTGATCATCACTCTCACTATATAGGGGATGGAAGTTGGCCCACAGAGGCTCAGAGATTTGCCCAGGGTTGAATAGACTGAAGGCAGTAGAGCCAGAAATTACTAAATCTAGCTCTAAATAGCAGTGGGACGACATGGACTGTATAACTCAGTTTTATGATCTGCAGATTGAGCATAATACTAATTTTACACGTTGTTATACAAATGAAGTGAGATCATATAAATAAAACATCTAGGTTAGTATTTTCATATATAGAGAGTTCAGTACACATTTATTTCACTTACTTTTTAGCTCTTCACTCTCAGTGAAATGTTGATAGTCTTATAATGGTAGTCTTAATCTACATTTAAAAATCCTCACTGCCTAATTCCTTATATGCCATTACAGCAAATTAGGGTATTTGTATTTTGAATCCTCACTATAATATTCTTCCTGGGAACTCACTTAAAGCAAGTTCCTTTTCGTGTTTTAGTTACTAACTCTTTTGCCCACTTTTGGATGAAAGGCCAAGAGTATTTTGAAGGCAGTAAGGTGAATCTACAATTTATTGAATCATGCCATTAAATAGAGTTAGAGTGAAGTTATAATCCATTTCCAAGATGACATATCTGGGGGGGGGGGCAATAAGCAGCAGGCATAAGCAAAATCCTAAAAATCCATTTATCTGCCAACACATTTGTGTAAGAGATTACACTACTGATCAGGAATTTCCTGCCATATGTCATTTTTCTTTTCTATGGAACTTTTCAGTAGCTTGTAATGGGCTGTTTTGTTTCCTCTTCAGGCCGGGCTGTTATCAGTTCCACTCAGATACTCCTTCCTATTCCGTTTGGAATGCTTTGTGACACTTATGAATGGGTGCCCCTACTTTTCAAAGGTTAGAATGTTGATTTACATCCTAGAAGACTCATCATTTCTGCTTCCTCACACACAGGGCTATTGTAAGAATTTACTATATTCAACTGTAGATTAGTTCTTTGAATCTCTGGAAAAGGGGTACGCATAAAATCAAAAGCTACATGTTCCTTTTATAAGAAATAATTTCCTGCTAAAATAATACACAAAGGTAACAATTGAAGAATTTCCAGGCAGATAAGGAAACAAATTTGAGTGTTTCTAATTATTTAGATGGTGCCAAGTGATAGAAAGAAAACAGTGGGAAGAATACCTGGTATATAGCAGAAAACTGGAGCTTCAACATGGTGGCATACAGGTAAAGTCTAATTGCCAGTCCTCCCCAGGGTGTGTCTCTCTCCCCTGAACAGGTTCTAATAAAAGAAGTGGTTTGGGACTGCCCAGGTTCTTGTAGGCACAGAGTGGTCAAGCTTTGCAGACGTGTGAGGTGGTTGCTGCTAGTCCTAGACCACCTGTGAAAACGCAAGTGATGTAGCTAAACAAATATTTTATGACTTCTCTTGGTTACAAAAATGAAGTAAATTTCCAGAAATGTGATTGTGGGTAAATACAGAGACTATTTGAAATTGGACGAGAACTGAATCAAATTCAAGGGTTAGCTTCAATGTTGACCTTATGAGAAAACTTGATGTGGTTCTCATCCGCTTCATTATGTGACCAGAATTGTGGAGAGAATTAAGTTCATGAACTGAGGTACCACTGTACTTCATTGTCCTAATGGATAGAAGGAGGTTAACTAGACACATATACCTCTGGAAAGGAGAGGGTACAATACTCACCGTATGTTGGTGATGTGATTGTATATTTGGGAAAACTGAAAACTCAATTGAAATACTTCTAGAAGCAATAAAGGAATTTAATTAGAAGGCAAGTCAAAAGTTAGAAGAAATAAAATGCAACAGCTGTTAACCCAAATTACTATTTAGAAAGTATAAGAGAAAACCAAATTCCATTCTCACTAGAACATGAACTGCAAGAGAGAGACTATTTGTTCACTATGGTATCCATAGCTCCTAGAACAGTGCCTGGTATGTTGTAGGTAACGGTAAACATTTGTTGATAAAATGAATGAATAGTAAGAAAATCATCACAAATGATTAGAAATCATCTTAATATGAAAGTCATAGGTCCTAAATGAAC